GAGTCATTTGTGATTTATCATGGATTTTTATTCTAAATTAATAAAAATGTATGGATACTGAGATGTATTAGTTCTACACATTGTCTCTGAAAGTTTTCATTTTTAGACCAACTAGCCTGAGGGGTAAAATGAAACACCACACTGTTTGTGAGGGAATAGTTGTACACGTTAATAGTCTATATATACTGTTTCTATGCTTCTATGCTATGTTTCTATGTGTTCAGTCAAAACACTTTATTTTATCTCAATGTATTGTGTTCCTATATTCAGCGATTACTGTTTTCTTTCCTTTTAAGTTAGCTTGGCTAGTTACCAAGGTAAACTTTAGGATTAAATCCAGTTAATGTTGATTTGGACGAGAGCTGTAGAGATTTTATGGTCATTTGGCGCCCTCTAGTGGCTGATACAAACTAGAGCAGTCAACTGGGAAACATTGACTACTGTTCTGTTTATTCTTTTCTGATATTTTTATTTGTAGATCACACTTAGTCGGATTGTAAATAAAGGGAATCTCAAGTCTTTTTTAAATCCTTTACCAGATGCTTGCAGTGGCTGTAATTACTTAAACATTCAAAGAAATCAGGTTCTGATGATTATACTCAGTCCTGGCCCCGGGGTCGAGCAACATGAGCTAACATCATTTTAGAAACTGAGCCTGCTTATCGCTAACCTCAATAAACAACACAGAGATAAAAACACTGGACGTGCCTTCCAGGTCTGGAAGGTGGGCTTCCTGAAATCTGCATAATTTTTACTGACTAGTAGAAGGAAACACTGGCAAACTGCTAAATTAACCAACACAATCATTAGGAGTCTTTTGTTTTCTTTTTTGCCACTGATTTTACTGAGAGCCAGAAACCTCAAGAAACCAATTACAACCAATCAGGAAGTGCACGTTTCCCTAGCAACCAGAGGTTAAATCATGTCCAACATGGCAAACAACTCTTGAACAATCTCTTGAGATCAGTTGGGTCAGCTTAACCTATGTTTATGGGAAAACGTCTTAGCAGACAGTTTCCTTTATGGGAAACATAAAAGAACAACTTTATGGCCTCATGGCTGCGGGCCATAAAGAAAAGGAAGATTAGAACTTCGTCATAGTCCTGTGCTTAGGATCTGATCAGGTTCCTATCACTAGATACTCAGTACAACCGATCGTAGGGTACTCTATGGATTACACCATGGGATGGCTAATGGTAAGTGAAGGATTTCCATTGGGTGTGGCGGTATGCTGGAAGCATTTGAAAAATGTCATCTGAACAGATAGAGGTAGTTTTTGGGTGTGAAAAGTGAAGCCAGTGTAGAAGTGTCTTCAACCTGCATTATTTTTAATGACCAGCAGGGGAAGATCGCTGATTCAGCAAAAACTGGCAAACTGCTAGCTTAACCAACACAATCATTGTTTTTTTTGGTGCAGCACATACTCTACCACTGATTTTAACGAGAGCCAGAATTGTCCAGAAACCAGTGCCAACCAATCAGGAAGTGTACGCTTCCCTAGCAACCAGAGGTTAAATCGTGTTCAACATGGCAAACAACTCTTGAACAATCTATTGAGATCAGCTGGGTCAGCTCAACGCACGTTGGTGGGAAAACAGCCCTTATCTGCCTTGATCTATGTGCTTAGCAGTTTCCTTGACAACTTTATGAGCTCATGGCTACGGGCCATAAAGAAAAGGAAGATTCAGGACTTCAGTCATAAATTTGGTAGTCGGCAGTTGAAGGACAGGACGATACTGTGGTTGCAAACAGGCTTCCAGTGTTTTATAGAAGTCTGTGGGATAACAGCTCTCTGACCTCGGTAACACTTTCCAGATGAGCTCATATTCTCAGCCACTGGTTTCAGTTTCCCGTGAATATAACATGAAGTCCACTTGAACTTTTGGTAGTTCTCAGAGTAACCGAGGAGAAATGTATTCAGGGATGCTTAAAAAGTTCAACTTTACTCAGCGTTTCAGCGCTAGCACCATTATTTTAACACTTCCTCTGATAGTTTAGTTCAAATTTACAATTTACATTTGATTTCCATTAATCTGCCACTGATGACACGCAGAAGGTGTACTGACTGATAAGGCCGACCAGCAGCAGGCTGGTGGGGTCCAGCTCGATGCTGGGGTTACTGAAGGTTTCGCAGAAGGTGGTGTAGATGATCATGAGGAGGACGGCGCTGCTGATGGCGCCGAACGGGGGCTTTTGCCTTTCCAGAAACTCCCTGAGGAAACCGCGACACACCTGCGCACAACCGAGCAAATCAGCTGATTTAGAGTTCAGACTTTAGACCAAGACTTCAGGACGTGCGCCGCTTCATACCTGACCCAGGATCAGAGGCACCACCACCGTCATGAAGAGCTGAGAGAAGATGGAGGAGAAGGGAACGGAGGACGAGGAGCCGAGCTGGAGGAGGAAGAGGAAAAAATAAATAAATAAATACAAATATTATCACAAGAAATGCACAAATTAGTGATCATATAAAAAAAAAAATTGTGCTTAATTTTAGTTATTTTATGACTACTTTTCATTTTTATGACCCTTGGTTGTGTCGTGTCTTTTTTCTTTTAAAAGTAAGGTAAATAAAAACTTATTTAATTATTCGTACATTTTTTAAAGCTCTTCTGGTTCTAATTTTATTCTGATTTTCATTTTTATTGTTTTGTGACTGTTCGGTTGTGTTTAATGTCCTCACGGTCATTTCAAATCTCTTTATGGTTGCTTTGTGTGATTATTTTAGCTCATTTGTGGTTTTTCGAGCTCTTTTTGTGTTTAGAGATATTTACTTTGCATGCATACTTATTTATGTTCTTATCTGGACATCAAACAAATTGAAAACAAAGTTTAAATTTATCCATTTTTCACTTTCTTCATATTTGGAGCAGGACTGGCTTGTAGCGTGTCTGTAATTTAAAAGTGATCATTTTGCTTGTTTTATGTCTCGGTTTGGTTGCCATGGATCTGTTTATGTTTGTTTTATGTTCATAACCCGACCAGGACGTCCTTACAAACGTCTAAGCCTCGTAAGGCGTCATGTGGCAGGCGGGACTTACAAACAGCAGCAGCAGCAGAGGAGTGACGACGATTCCCTGCAGGGAGAAAAAAGGAAAAGAGAAATCAGGATTACAGCTTTGACTCTTCGTTCATTACTGCAGGATCGCTTCATTACAGTCACAATCCTCCAAGGAACGTGAAACAGAAAAAAAACTGTCTTACCAAGAAGCTTCCAAAAGCAGAGTTGAAGATGGCGGCGGCCTGCACAAACACGCACTCAGTTTATCACTTTGGTGACACTGCAGGTTTAATCTGACCTGCTAATCTTTGTGTTTGTGTTACCTCGTTGCCTCCGACAGCCTTGGTGAGAATAACGGCGGAAGAGACCGGAGGGGGCATGCAGCTCACCGTCTGTAACCTAGGCAACCACAACAACCACAGGGTGAAGAAGAAAGAGGAGGATGAGGATGAAACAGATCTGAGTCACTGCCTGCCTCCTCAGAGGAAATTGTGAGGATGGAGGAATGTTTTTCACAAATGAGACAAAAAAAACAAAACAATGCAATACGATGTCACGCAAACAGGTCTGCAGGTGGGAGGGGCTTGTGTGAGACTGAGATGACCATATTAGGAATATGTCCCCTCTGTGATGTCATAAAGATCAGAAAAAAACTGCCTGAAATAAAGAGTTTAGAGCCATCTGAAGTCTGGAATTGCTTCCACATAGAAAAAATGTTTACAGATCTTATAAATCTATATTTTATTTACAACTGATGATAGAATTTTATTTATTTATTTATTTATTTTAATCTGATGACTTCACTTGGACGGACCTCAAAACAAAACTGTGAAAAAAAATAAAATATCCTGTTCCTGGTGTTTCTCTGGGGAAGTCTCACATTATACACAAACACATGGAGCCGGGTCTGTAGTAATCTGTGAATGTGTCTTTATGCCAGCCCTCCAGGTACTGTGAGAATAAAGAACAACATTCTCTCTCTCACACACAGACAGACACACACACACAGACACACACAGGGTCCTACCCTCTGAGCAGCCATTGGTCGATGGCGGTCAGTGAGAGCACCTTGAGCAGCAGCCAAACGGCGAGTGGGAAGAAGATGAGGGTGAAGGACTGAACAAAGAGGTGGAGCCGCACGTGAAGCAGCGCACTGGTCAGCTCCTGCACACAGAGAGGGAGACTTTTCCAAACTGCACCTGAATGCAACACTGCATGTTCCATAACTGAGGACAGAAGCAGGATGGGAGCAGCTCACCTCAGTTTTTAGCGACAGGCCGCTGTTGAAGAAGATGAGCGAGACGGCGATGTACGCTACGGTGACCTCCGGTTTTAAAGGACCTGACAGACAGAAACAGATCAAATTTTCAAATGTGACATAGTCTGTGTAATACAGCAGGGAGAGGAAGCAGCCATCTGCTCTCTGTAGCTCTGCGTGGAGACCTGTTTTTACTGCAGTATGGATTAAAAGGGTTTTCACATCCGATGCAGTTTCACCTCAGTGCTGCCTTTGTGACGTTGACATAATAGTTTCCTTAATAGGATTTAGCTTTCGGTCGGTGTCTTTGGTTCAGCTCTTGACTTGTTTTCCTCTTATTTATCTGTAAGGACCCTCTCTGTTAGGGTGTGCAGATTTTCCTCTTACGTTGCTTGTATGACCTGTGAGGTTCCACAAGGTTCACTCCCGGGTTCATTGTTATTTTCTTTTTACCAGCTTCTTTTAGCTAGAATCAATCTTTTTATGGCATTTCATATCATTTCTGAATAACCAGCTGGAGGCTAGTTAACTGATCATCCCAGATTACGCACTGACTCTTCAATAACTACCTTGTTTTAAACTTCATATATAACTGAACAAAGACTGATCGCACCACAACTTCTGCCTCCAAGTCAGCTGTGTCATCCATGCTCGCAGTTTACAAAAGATGAGAGCTGCATGTCCTTTAGCTGAAACAACACTAAGGTGCAACTGTTTTCAACACAACAGCAGCAAATAAAACAAACAATCAAAGAAACAAAAACACACCACACCTGTGCTGATGTCATACTTCCAAAGCATCAACATTTCATGTTGGGATGCCCAACATGCAAACTGGCTGAAAAAAACACTGTAGTAATCTGTGAATGTGTTATGAAGTTGAGACTGCAAAATGCGTGACGTCACAATGGATTTGACCATCTTTTATATACAGTCAATGGTAACACGTTAAAATAAGAGTCCAGCAAATACGAGCAAGAAAACCCACTGATATGTGAAGCCGGCGTTTACGAGCAGCGCCTAAAGGCACCACACCGATAGTGGCGTCTTATCTAATCTACAGGGAAAATGAGCGGAGGGGTTATCAGCTCCGGTGGCGGCTGATTTGTAGTTATCAATGCTTATGCTTTCTCCTCACTTAGTTTAGTGGCAGTAATTAAAGATGCCGATAACGTGCTCGTGGACGCGCACACATGAGCGCGGAGCGGAGCACGGAGTTGGGTTGACATTACCTACTGAATGCAACGTGTCACTACAGCGGCACTTCAGGTACGGAGACACACACAAACACAAGGAACCACTGTGACGTAGAGCCTGCTGCCCAGGGCCAGCATGCAGAGGAACCGCGACATTCCACTGAAAGAAAATCCTGAAATGTACACTTTGTTAAAGTCTGACAAAACCTCCATTCATTACATCACTACGTTATAAATAAAACCAACAGTATTTGCACCTTGTTTCGGCTCAGGTCATATTCACAGAAACATGCAATGTTAAGTTGATAGTCCACACTTTTCTTCAAATTTCGGGGAAACAGCGCTAAATAAAGTCTAGAAGTTGTTCATTTATGGAAGATCAAAAGTTTCCAGGTAAATCAGCCTGTGGCGATTTATTTTGTGACTCCTAACGATTGATTTAAGGTGTTAAGTCTTTACCTGAAAGAACACCTTTGGCCCTGAGAGAGAAGTAAAAGGATGGCAAACTCTTTCACAGCCTGGCAGTAAAATGCCCCAAACTGACCACTTAATAAACGGAATATTTGTTCATTTAGAGTCATTCAAAGAGTGAACACATTTTAAAGCAACACCATTGAACTTCAGTGATGAACTTCCGACCCTCTCACCTCCTTTCACTCCGATGCTGGGCTGCAGCTTGGCCGATAAGATGACCAGCACGATCCCGACGATGAACCACTCCTTTCGTATCCTCGCCACGAGGCCCATGTTTCAGCTCGCCGGTGGTCCACCGGCTCTCCCTGCCTGCCCCCCACGGTCACAGCAGCCGGGACAGAAGTTCCCACAACTCCGGCGCTTCTTCTACGAAGCTTTTATCGTCACAAAACACAGGCAGAGGAAGCCGAGGCTGCTTCCGGACACATGGGCCCAAACTAGCCGTAAAGACCAGATTACAGACGCACCGACTCACTCATTACCGTAACACTACTAAAAGCAGCACAACATGCGTGTAACGATCAGAATCTGAAAAAATGTCAATAAAAGATTACATGTTAGGATACAGTTTCATTATTTACAGGTTAAAAAACACAATACAAGTAAAAGTATGAATAATACTGTTATAAATAAAGCTGTGTAAGAAACCGGTAAAGAAACAATGGATGTAAGGGTCAGTATAACATTAACACATTTTAGTAGATATTTAAAAAGTTATTTATTAAAAATATGTGCCATTTATTTAACTATAAACAAATAATCATAGCAAACATTTTAAAAAAATGTAAAAAAAATATATTTAGAAAATTGTGATAATGAGGTATTGTTTTAGGTGAACAAGTCATAAAAATATTTTAAAAAATTTAAGTTTGTACAAAAAAAATAGACAAATTTTAGTTGACTTGGAGAACAACAGTATATAACATGTAAATAAGGCTGAAATCCCAAACCTCATGCTTTGATGTCCATTTCTCTTCTTACCAGTTTTGTATTCAGTATTTAACGTCTTTTAAAACAGTCAAGGTCACTTTTAATAGAAGACTTATGAACAATAACCAATGACAAACAAACTATATATCAAGTCAATAAAAGTAAATTTTAACACTGAGTATTTAAACTGACATTAAAACATTACAAGTGCTTGAGTACAGATGAACTGTGTGGTTGTAGCACATTGTTAACTATGCAGAAAAGGGATCTCGTGACGTGCAGGGATTAGACCCGTGTGATAAGGAGCGTCCTTGTAATGACATCATTATGACTGTTGTACATTTCTTTGTGGATGATGGCCTTCAGCTGATGCAATTGAAAAGTAAACCACGGTGCAGTGCGAGAGAAGGAAAGGTTTCTAAAGGAGCCATCTTTAGTTTAGCGTTTATCCTTTTCACTCTTATTTTTAATTGATACTATACAGAGGCGAGATTTGGGTAAACGACCGTAGATGTCCTAGGCTATCCCAGCTATCATATAGCATCCTATAGTCTTTGGTAGCATGCTTCATTACTGTGATCTGTGTTTCCTTCCTTTCAAATGTTTGAATGACAGTAAAAACGAGTCTTAGGCGAGATGCGGGACACGTTGCTAAACTGTTGCAGGGCTAACACAGACAACCATTCACACCTATAGCAAGTTTACAGGCTCAGCCCTGTAAATACTGACTCTTTGTATAAATTTGATTTGTTTATGAATAAAAGTCTTTGCATGTTATGAAATGCTCATGATTGTTCTTCACTCCATCACATCTGTATGATATCTCGATGTCACATGAAAAAAAAAAACATCTGAAGAAAGATTTAAACAGTAAATTTGTGCTGCTGCCAAAACGTTTGGCCTCGACAAAGCACACAGCAGATGTTTCAGGGTTTCATCTTTATTCACGGTAACAGGTAACTCTTCTCCTTTCTCTCCCTCATATTGTCAAACGACGGCCTGTTAAAACCAGGCAGGAGAGTAGTAGTCCTCGGAATCCACACTGAGGTCCTCGCGTCCTCGTTTCACCTTCCAGGCGAGCAGCGCCTGCAGAGCGGCGGGCGAGGTTGAGGTAAGGTTGGCGCTGTATTTTCCATTCGTGGCGTGGGCGTGAGCGGAGGCCACCAACACCTGATGGAGGAAAAGCAGCAGGGTCACGGCCTTACAGTCGACATCTGGATCCACATAAACTGTCCTCAGACTCTTCAGTCAATTTAACTTCATGACTACTTCCTGAGTCACAGGTCTCAAAGTTCACAGGCTGAAGGACTCTAATGAAGGATGCACAAGTGTATCCTTTACTCTATTTTTATCTATTTTATCCTAAGTGCATAAAAGAGGTAACATGTCATCCTTGTTCCCGAGGTATTGCATTCACAAACTGTGTGACAAGGATACCTCATCAGGCTTTTACGGCCGACTGCTAAAGACGTAAAGAAAAGACCGACCTGCGCTCTCTGCAGCCGAGCCACATCTTCTGTGGTGCAGGCCACCTTGTAGCCCTGCAGGTAGTACTCAGCAGCTTTCACATACTGACTCTACAGAGGCACACAGAGATGGGGAAGCAAGCCCAGGTGTTTACGAGGCAAAGCTAACATTTTTCAGCTGCTATAAATCAGTGTGATTGGTTATTGATTCCTGCACTGAATACTGTGGGGTGTGATTGGTACCCTGCTGAAGTAGATGTTTCCCAGACACAGATGAACGTCGATCAGTCTGTGATGCAGTCCGCTGCTACGAGACATGGCGACTAACCTCTCCAGACACGCGACCGCCTCCTCGAAGTATCCCTCGCTGTGCCACACACACACACA